CCCCGTCCCCCGCGCCAGAGTCGGACTAGGAATATTTGAATGCTCTAACCTGATACATGGACAATATCGTGCAGTAAACTGCCTCTACTCGCTGTTAAGCCGCCACTGGTCTAGGAAAAGTTCAGTTCACTTGGTTTGTTCCACGCACGCACGCACAAACACACACACACACACACCAACTACACGTATAGCATGGCAAAGGCATTCTGGTGGGTGTTTACATGGAACGGTTGTTGAATGTGTGACTAGTGGTTACTGGTGCCTCAACTGATACTCTGCGATATATGCGCACATGTCTGGTAGAAAATACTTGAATGTATTGCACGAGATTGGACAAAATGGTAGTGGCGCGTAGAGAGACAAAGATGTGTGTGGAACAGGCAAGCCANGGCAAGCCAGATTCTGCAACAAAAAGTGACATGACAATGCTCCACTGATTCAGATTGATGCAAACGTAACGAAAACGGGAACTTACCCCGGTCTTTTCCAATCTTTCGGCTACATAAAGTAAGCTGTTTGTTGCGAGACAAGTTTCTACTGGTGGAGCACCCAGTTGTCCATCGGTCGGGGATTCTTTACCCTGGCAGGAGAGAAACGGGAACGCGGAAAACGGTAGTCTTCTTCCATCCATTATAAGAAAGCCCCTAATATTCGCGGAAATTATGCTTCAGTAGTTAATCGGATATAATGGTACGCTGGAAATTGCTTTTAAAAATGTTTGTTTCATTGAATTAAGGAAGAGATACGTGTGTTGTGGAAATGTGTAACGAAGTGCATTTGTTTAGTAATGCGGAGCACCAACACACATCCATCTAGATGATGTGTGTACGTGTTGGAATAGCACCATCACGAGTGGATTTCCCTTGGTACCCCGTACATTGTTGGATTGTATCCCTCTTTGAAAAAAATGCACGGGGCAAGTCTTCAATTGAATAAAAATGGGTGAAATGATTGCTATCCGTATCTGTACCCAAAATGTTATCAATTTAAAAGTATTTATTCAGTGAAATAATACTTTGGCTGATTCGTGATGAAATAGCACAATGAGCACCACTCAAGCCACTGACAGGATGTGAACCCCCTCTCTGTCCGGTTAGCGGACAAAAAGGTGCTATAGTAAGAGACGTAACATGTGCATTTTTAATCAGATGGGTAGGTAGGCTTTTACTGATTACATCGCTCCGAGTAAAGAACCACAATTGTCTATGGAAGAGAAGCCACACAACTGGGGTGGTTTACTGCTCCTACCACAACGGATTTCCTTCGTATCGGTCGTACTGTGCGGCTAATGCGGTCTTTTGATGTCGATCACCAGTGGATTAATTCCTGATCAATAAGCGAAACAATGCTGACATATTACTTCGTGTGGAAGTGTGGAAGATTTTGACTTGGACTCGTAATCCATAGTCGGAAAACCGACCTAGTGCTACGGAAATTTATCTAATACACACCTCCATGAATAAGAAAAAAGAATTGATTTTGATCATGATCGATCATACCAAGTAGAAAATACCGCTAGCAGAGAGCGGATACACTGATCTGAGGGTCCTGGACCTCCGGTTGAATAGTTGTGCTTGCTTATGTGTGCGTGTGTGTGTGTATACACGCGGGTCTGTATGTATAGACGAAGGATTATTTAGAGTATCAAGCTTGGATTAGCCCATTCGATTGTTCATAGGCACCACGCACTCTTGGTGGTCTTAGGTGTGTGGGTTGCACTCCTTGGGAGATCGTTAATTCACCCCAATAGGTAATGCATTCAAATGCGATGTAAATGTTTGTGATGACTGACAAAGAACACCGGACAAATGGTTCATCCTGTTTTGGTTTGAAGTTCCGACCCGAATGTTGGCAGTTGGAGTCCTGATAGGGACACAAAACGTACGCGAACTGCTGGCGAATCCCAAACAGGACAAAACAGCTGTCTAGTGCGCTCTTTGTCGGTTATCACAAACATTTCCATCACATTTGAAAGATTATTTACTTTGAAAACAGTGGATTGGAAAAACTGTACATGGTTTAAATTGAATGATTTTCAAACCTCATATTGACTAAATTCCAAGAAATAGCAAATTTACCAATTATGATGGAACTGTGAGGATTAGAGGCGCAGTGTCGTAAGCAATGCTAAAGTAAATCTGTCTTATCGGAAAATTGGGGAGAACCACTTACTTACCTTGCAATCGTCTAGCCACTTCTCAATGGTCAGATCGGGGTTGTTGTAAGCGCCACTCAAAACAAGCGTCTATGAGAGGAAGAAAGGGGACAGATTAGGTGAAATGTATTTGCCTCTGGGGAAATGGGTTTATTTTGCCAGTGGTGATATGGAGTCATAATCAACTATGGGATTCGGTTTGAAGTGTGCATCATCTATCTGACTGTTTAATGAATTACATGTCACTCTGAATAAACATAATTTATTTTCTGACTTTAACTGTTGACTTCTTGCAGTAGCCCAGAGTATCAGAAAATGTTGATCGGATTCCAAAGCCTGGTTCGCCAACCATTTGCACACATTTCCTACTCACTTTCACCTGTCCGCCAATCTTGGCAATTTGGTTGCAAACGATTCATCACCAGCCGAGGTGACATCATCAGTGCTTGTGAAGTGACCACTTCGGCTGGTGATGACACGTTTGCGAGTAAAATACCAAACTGGGCGAACGAGTGAAAATGAATTTAGTCTAGCCGGGAAGCAAAAACCGGTTTTCAATACTTCGTCAGACAAGTCCGATTGTTGTTGTCGCTGAGACACTCAGCTATCAACGATGTGGATGTGGACGATGCTCGTGATGTGATTTCTAAGGAATTTTTGGAACGTGATGCAAAGTTGAATTCCAGTAACACTCGATCACGGTTTGGGTCTTTGAAATGATGCACATCTGGCCCTCAAACAAACAAATGCTTCTCGCATGGCGATGGCCTTAATTAGTACCTGGCCCGGTTCACACGCGTGCTATGAACCCTTGAATTGCATGGGGACTGCTTATCAATCAAAACCCGTCACTTTCGGTGGGCATCGCAGGTGATCAATCGCACAGGATTACTCAGGGGAGTAATGCCCATTTGTTCATCGATAAACGATAGTTTTTGCCGATTTTTCGATCTGGATACAGGCTCTATGGAATTGATCATATTCATTAGATGGTCTATGAAACGGGTGTGCTGAGCCTCAATCCGAGTTTAATCCGTTTCAAGAATATGCTCATTAATCTGAAGGAATCATTCAAAGAAACACCGGGTAGTCTTGGGTATGGTAGATTTCATCATCAATGTGCTTGTACGTTTTCCTGTTCAAAATAGGCGAGTTTAGATTCCATCTGCTTTCATTCATGCCCAAAAACATTCCTAACCACCACTGCTCTCTATCTGAAAGAAACACACGCAGAGTGAATCCGCCCAACTGACTTGGCCGATTCACTCCCCACCAATGATCCTTTTTTAGTTCTATGCAATTCGTTTGCATCAAGTAGAAATTAGATCACAGCCCTGATTTGAATTCTCATGCGTGCACAGTGGTCAGACTGAAAGGAAGCCCCCGCGGAGACTGCCCCCGGGGGTGATACATGTGATTCCGACGTCATCTAGTGCACGTCAAGCAGTGCACTAGCAAAACAACGTGACACAAACGACTATTTATATTTGTCACATCAACCTTGTTTGCAACACCGGGTGACCGTTGGATATACAGCTCTTTCAGAGCCAGTCCATTGAAGAATCGATGCTATGATTTGATGTTTTGTAAGTGGGTTAGATGCTACTAACCGCAACAAACGTGACCTGATAGTCAACAAGGTTGTTGTGACGAAAATACACTTCCTGGGTTCAAGTATATTAAAGAACTGACAAAAGATTACATGATACGCATGCATGACGAGCGGCAAGAACCGCAAAACTGGTCGTGTGCTTCCGGGGAAAATTTGTCCAGTCATCCCCATACTACTTATAATGATATATATATATACAAAAGCCTCAGTCTAGTCGGGGTGGGTATCTCGGGTTTTGACTGGTCATCGTTCCCCTACACCTCGCCAAATGCTTCAATATGACCAAAGGATTTTAATGGCCTTTTCTGAGGAAACCCTCTTCTCTGTCTTCTCATGACGGAGGTTTTTTCCTACCAGATCACGAGGACGACAAGTCAAATTCTGGAGTCCAACGGCGTTGGTGAACCAGCACTGGCAGTTCACCTAGGGGAATTGGTCAAAAACCCTGATTCCAAACCAACCAAGAGGTTGTGGCAGTGGTCACCAGCTCAATGTGTCTTGGGCACCTTGAGTTTTTGACCCGTCCAAAGGGCGTATGACCCGATGAACTGGACACCGGCCCCCAATGGACTGCTCCGTCCTGCTGTCTTGCAGACCTCACTTTCTATTCAAAGGCTTTGAGTGGGGACCCTGAGGTTATTCCTCTTCCTCGATCACGACAACCGGGAAGCGACATGCCCACAAAACCTAAAAGCACATTCTAGAGATTATTTTTCTTGATATGCTAAGGCACGTTTGCCAGTTCTATGTAATTGATTACCTGTTGAAGTAATATGTATCCTTTCGGAAACCATGTAGTTTGCTTCCAAATCGATGGGTCTATCTTATATGTTGCGTTTTATTGTCAAAATCCTCAGACAACTGTGGAATATGCACAATACTTCTTACTTGAGTTATCTTCAACCTCCGATTCCGTACCCAGATCATTGCTCGTTTTCAAAATTTATCGTTNCGTTTCGAATTCCCACGATAATAAATTGTCTAATCAATGTCATTTACCACCAAACGTAGACAGTGTATCGAAAGAATCGGCCTCGAAACCTCTCTCTCACCAGCGATGTTGAACTTGCATAGAGGCTTCTTGTTCCTACACCGCATCTCAAGGCAATTTATATAACACCCTCCCCCCCCCCCATAGATTTAAACTATGCGTATGACGAGCCAGTTTCTCGAATAGTTTCCAATCCTTCACAATTACAAACGTTCATCAATAATCGGTGAGGATTTCCGGAACGGAAGAACCAGACAGACAGTAAAATGCACCACAACTAATAGTTCCCAAACTTTCCCGATGCATTTTGGAAATACTGCAGGGTTTTTCTCTCCGACCGCTTTCAACCACCAGTCAGTCGTATTTGTGTCACTTCGATTGATGAACTACCCTTGGAATCCATTGTATATGGATTCCCATTGTTCAAAAAGATCTCTCCACAAACATTCTTCTGTCCCGTATCATGTACGTAGCTTAAACACGAAAGAAATGAAGGATATGATTCAATTTCCAAAGGGGAAATTTGTCGTGTGTATAGCAAGTGAAGCGTGAACCGAAAAGCTAGGAAGCACTGGACCGCTACTTTGACCTGGATGGGTCTCATCAGCAATGCGAATCAATCAACCCAACTGGGGATCGAATTTGGGACCTCGCAGAAAGAACACAAGCACACTATTCACTCGAATTTGAATTGTCATCAATGGTTGTGGTCAGGTTGTGAAAGTTTCAAACCGAGTCATAACCCCGAAGGCTATTGCTGAGATGAGCGAGACGCCGTGCTCCCAACAAACTCGCAACGATGGGTTGTACTATATTGTGTAAAATGGAAAATAAAAAACGGCCGCCCATCGGTGACTGATTAGCGGAAAGATCTGTATTCTACCTGTGTGGTTCGGGGTTTGATCCTCAGTTGGGTCGATGGATTCGCAGTTGCTGGCGCGACCCATCCAGGTCGAAGCAGCTGTTCAGTGACTTCTAGCTATGCGGTCCACGCTTCATTTGCTCCATACACGACGATGAACTGCCCGTAAGTAATTATAAACAGGTCGCACACAAATTTCGTTTGAGAATGAATGCATGATTACGCCTGTTTTACCACCTACTGTTTTTTCTTCATCCGTTGTCATATTCAATTGACTGACTACATCGTGAATTATTCATACTGAAATGCCAGCATGCACACTCAATACATTCTCATCAAAACACAGGAAACAAACAACCTGACACAGCAGTATGCGTGTGATAACGATTGTTATGGGGTTAGGGGTGGCACGGTACATACTATGAACTCAGGTTGAAAAGGTTTTCGCGTGATCGCGTGATCGAGGAGACTGAGCGAATTGCCATGGTCAAAGCACAGGCCGGGTTAAAATCGGGACCGGGTTGAAACGAAGATCATAATATGACAAAACTCACAATCACATCGTATTTCGTGAACACGTTGATTAGACGTCTCGTTTCCAGTGAGTCCACAACGGGCAATGCAGAGATTCGATCGTTCCGGAACAGGCGCAGCGCATCCGAAAGTTTGGTCGACAGCGTGATCATAGAGATGTTTCCGAATGTGCCAACATTCAGATCACTCAAGCTCGACTGTTTCCACGGCAATACATTGAATATGTTCACACGCAGGGCAAAAATAGTGGGGAACAAAAAGCATTAGAAAATATTCGACTGAGGGAAACAAAAACGTGCATTAAAAACAAAAAAGTGCACCTTATTTTTCCAGGATGAACTATAAAAAAACAGAAATCTATTTTCATTTCATAGTTCACATAAACTCCCCCTGAACCAAATGGGCTAACTCGGGAATCGGTTGCGCGGGCCTGTGGGGAAAGTGTATGCATTCGATAGATGCTTAGATGTTCAAAGTTCGGGTAGAATAGATACATCGGTGGGAATAGATGTGTAGGACAACCAAAATGAATCGACTACGTAGTTATGGCAACCAAAACAAACTCGGGTATGAAAGAATTCGGATAGAGGAGGAATAGATTCAATCTGAATACGACATACGCGCATACCAACATGGTTGCGTAACGCTAAAATAACAGACTATATAGATTGCACCTGCAAACAGTGCACAAAAACCGTTGCGAAATCAGCACTATCCGGGAACGGGGACAAAACAAGCAAGCGGCGGAGAGTTTTTCTCGGGA